GAACAGGGTCACCGAGTCACCCTGGCCAGTTCCCCTATGTAGACATATGGCAGTCACTGGAAACTCATCCTTTTCCCTGGCTTAAAAAGTGCTTTGAGGACAACTGTAAGATTCTGATGGCAAGAGTATTGGCTACTGGGACTGCTAAAAAAAAAGAAAAATGAGGCTCTTAAACTACAGAATCTTAAGACGTTGCCACTTTTCCTGGAATACCCTCTTACTGCCAGTCCAGAACCCAGGCATCAATGATTATCGCACAGTGCAAAATCTCTGAGGGGTCAATCAAGCAACATTGACTTTACACCCAGTGGTTCCAACTTGGCTGGCCCTGATATCAGCAGAAGCAACCTGCTTCTCATGTTTGCACATAAAAGATGCAGTGCTCTGCATCCACTTGACACCTGCGAGCCAACCCATCTTTGCTTTCCAATAGGAGGACCCCCAGTCAGACGGCAACAACAATTAACCTGCGTGAGACCCTTCTCCCACAGGGCTTCAAAGCTCCCAAACTATCTTTAAATCTTCCATGGATCTGATTTCCAAGCATACTCAGTGGCAAAGGGATGGCCTCCCTGCCTGTAAGCTCTCACAGCCACAGCCTTGCTAGTATCAGAGACAAAAAAAAAAAAAAAAAACCATTGGGAGGGAAATACCTGCCTGGGTCCCAAATCTGTTGTGACTTTAATGGAATGTAAAAGACAGTATTGGTTGACAAATGGCAGGATGATCAGATAGCAGAGTGTGCTTAGTGAAAACCCAGTAAAGTTAGAAGTTGTCCAGACCTTAAACCTGGGGTGACCCTCCTTTCATCAGCTGCGGGGTCTCCAGACTATAACTGTATTGAGGTGCTTAATGAGGTCTTCTCAAGCCATCTGATCTCTGTGACCAACCTCTAGCTCAGCCTGACCACAACTTTTAACAGATGAAAAATCCTCAAAGAGGAAACAGGATACACTTGACTATACAGTAGTGATTTTGGACTCAGTCTTAAAAAGCTCAGGCACTGGCTCTAGACAAAAGGAAGAGCACTTGTGCTGACATGCACCCTACAGCTGACAGTGAAAAGGACTGGCAACATACACACACACTCTAAAAATGCTTTTGCCATTCTTCATGTACATGGGGCTATATATAAAGGAAACTGATTACATATTCCCAGGTATGGGATCCCCATCTCCACTGGGTAAGATCAGACAATGGACAAGCTTTTGTGGCAAAAGTTGTTAGACAACTGACAAAGAGACTACACATAACCTGACACCTTCACACAGCATACTGGCTTCAGAGTTCAGGCAAGGTTGAAAGGATGAAGCAGATACTAAAAACTCAGATAAGTAAACTCTGTCAGAAGACTTGCCTAAGACTTGGGAACACATCTTGCCATAAACTTTACTTAAGATTAGGTGGAGCCCCAACAAACAAGCTGGTTCTCACCCAATGAGATTCTCTTTGGAAGACCAACCCCACTTAGTAAAAGGCATTAAGAGAGATTTTTTGAAAAAAGAAAATCTAACCTTGCTCCAACATATGAGCAGACTGGGAAAAGCGCTTAATGTCCCGCACTGCCATGTCCGAGAAAAACCCCCTATCAGCTTAACCACTGACGTGCATTTCTTTAAGCCAGGTGACCAGGTTTGGATAATACAGTAAAATCTCCAGCCTCTCCCTCCTCAGGGGAGGGGACGCTATCTGGTGATCCTGACTACTCCCATGGCAATCAAGGTGGAAAAAAAATCACCCTATGGATGCATCCCACCCAAGTAAAGAAAGCAGCTTCTAAGTAGAAGAGTCAGCTGGACTCCAACAATCCACTCAGACTGACCCAAAGGAGGGGATCTTCAGCCTTGCCCTAGTCACAAACCAGAAGCTGACTAGTCATGGTGGAAGCTTGAGGAATCAACTATCAGGCAATTAAGGAACTGTTGCTTCTCACAGTCAGAGTTCTGTGGTAATGCTTGAGTTCTGCCATCCCTTACCTATCTCTCTTTTCAGCAGTGTAACCTTGCTTTGCTCAATAGGAATAACAGTAACTGTCCCAGCAGGATAAAACCATGTCAAAAGGCTTTCTCTGACAGTTTTCTCTTTCTCTCCCACTAACAGGATGTGATATTTGAGTGTTTCTATTCTGGGTTCCTTTTGCAAATCTGAACCCAAGTTGTGCTTATGTACTACTTGGCCTAAAAATGCCATTACATAAAATAGATAATAAAAGAGATCACAGATAAAATAAAAAAGATTGCTCATGTTCCAGTTCAGACGTGAAAGGGGAAAATCCTGATGCTTTGCTTGGAGGATGGTTCGAGGATTTAAAACGATGTGAGGGGCTGTATTACTTACAGTGTTAGGCTGTCTTATACTCCCATGTTTGCTGCCATTGCTCATATGTTCCCTATCAACCCCGATAAAAGCCAGTGAAACAAAAAATTGGCTACACAATTACATATATCACAAGGCTACCAAAGAGTAAATCCCATCCCTAGAAAAAAGAAACACAGGATGCACTTTGATGAATAAAATGTCAAACCATCGAAGTTGGGAATGTTGAAGCCAGCTTGGCTATTTTCCTGGGATTTACTGTATCTGGTGTTTCTCCACTCTGAGTCTTCAAGCAGCTTTCTGCTAGCTCTGTAACACTGCAAGCCTCCTGCTAGCCCTGCAAAGTTTCCCACAATTGTAACCACATATTAAAAAGAGCAGGGGGGAGGTAGTAAAGAGCGGGTAGAAGGGGCAAACTGTATTTAACCAAGCCCCTGACACAGATCAGGACTCAGGGCTTTGAGAAACTATCTTCCCTGAGTCCGTGGGCATAATAAACTCCCTGCTTTCTAGAAAAATGATCTCGGTGACTTTGTTTCCCTCATCATTCCTGCAACAACACAGCCATTAAAAGACTTTACATCGTGGGATGAGAATGTAGCTCAGTGGCCTACTGTTTGCCTAGCATGCTGCAGGTCCTAGCTTCTATCCCCAGTACCACACATGCACACACATTTTTTTTTTCTAATTTCACACCAATCATCAAATTTGTCCAAAGAACAGGAGAAAAGGGAACAATAAAGCCAGCATTATCCTTATACCATAAGTAGACAAAGATATCTCAGGAAAAGAAAACTACAGGCCTTTATTACTCATTAAGACAGACTCTTAAGAACAAAATACTAGCGAACCAAGCCTAGCAACTTACTGATGTTTTTACAATTACCGATGGAATTAAATTACAGACGGAATTTATGGCAGAGTAATTTGATTATCATACCCACTCCGTTTGAGGGGTTTGCATAAACCCTTATAAATTCTAATGCTCATGCACAATGGACTTAAGTCTTTCTCCATCTTCCTTCCCTTCTGTGTGTATTTGGCATCTAGCACTTGTCAAAATTGTGCTGGGTGCTGCAAGCATGTTCTCTGTCCTTATGTGGCTTACCAGGAGACAAAAGGATGGATACAGAAAAGGTAAAGGGAAGCCTCCCGAACATAGGAGTCCTTGTCCTTTTCCAGGTCTCCCACCTAATGGAGCAGGAAACAGGGTCCTCTTAAAATTTACTAAGAGCATGATGAGCCTGAAAGTCAAGTCAGGGGACTTGCCTTTTTTTTTTTTTTAAACAGCGATTTATTTCATTTGGAATTTTCCTGCAGGCAGGGCTTGGTGGTTAAGCCTGCAATCCTAGCTACAAGGGAAGGCAACGATCCAGAGACTCCTGTTTGGAGGCCAGTCAGGACAAACAAGTTCAGGAGAGTCCATCTTAATCAGTGACTGTCAACCCAGCTGTTCAGGGACCAGGCTAGCATAAACCCGAGGCCCTGTCTCAAAAAGGAAGGTTTCTTGTTTTAAGTGATACGTTAATACATAAAATTGTACCCACTCTTTAGTTACTACTTGATGAATGGACACATCAGATTAAGCACACCCATCTGCTTTATCATTTCTTCATGGCGAAAACTTTCAGAGCCTGTTCTCCTAGCTTTTTGAAATGCACAGAATTATTACTGTGCACTAGCCTGTGTCACAGCACACCAGAGCTTCTTGCTCCTGTCACTTAGTACCCACAATCCCTCCATTTCTCCTACTCTCCCAGTCTGTAGCGTAACTTTTATGAGAAGTACTGAGTCGGATTCCACATGAGAGAAATCCTAGGGTTCCGGTCTTTCTGTGCTTGCTTATTGTGCTCCATGTAATGACCTCAGGTTGCATCCACGCTGTAGCCCACGGCAGGATGTCGTTCTTTTTGTGAGCAAGAAGTATCCCAGTGTACATTTTTTGGATACACGTTCAGTTATATGTTCCATTGCCGTGGGTTTTTTATAAAGTAGCAGAGCGAAAGATTCGCCCAATTCCGTCCTTAAGTTCAGCCCCTCCTTGTTGACAGGCCCCACCTTGACGGAATCCGTCAGGCTATCCAAACTGTTTCAGAGTACCTTCTCCACGTGTTCCACTAGGTGGGAGCTGGGCCACGCAAGAACAGGCAGGGGCCGGGGCGGCGAGGCGGGTGCACGAGTGTTGCAGGGAGGGTGCACAAGTGTCGCAGGGAAGGAGTGTTGCGCTTAGAGACATGCCGGTCCAAAGAAGCGACAGGGCGCGGGGTCAGGAGCGCGGGGGTAAACGCGAGCGCTTTGGCGGGGAGGCGCGTGTGGGGCACAGGCATACCTAGAACGCAGGGATATGGAGGCGCACACGGACACCCAGGCGAGGAGCACGAGGGCGCTGTCACGAGGGGGCACGCGGAAGCTCGGGAGCCGGCTCGTTCCGCCGCGCGGGGGCGCGAGCGCGCAGGAGCGGAAAGGAGGGACCCCGCGTGTGGGCAGGGGCTGTGTGGTGCGCAGGGTCTCTCGGGGGCGCGCGTGCGCCAGCTCGTACGTGGGCACGCTGACCCCAACCAGCTACGGAAGCCTGCAGCAGCTGTGACGACGCCATTTGCCTCCCGGCTGAGGTCTGTCGTTAGGGGACCTCACACGGTGTGCGGAGGGCCTACTACTGACAGCCTCTTGCAGCTTGCCCACCTAAAACTTAGCTTTCCAAAAGGAGTTGAAACCCACCTGGACTTACAACCCACCCCACCCAGGTTACCGTTCGCGCCATGCCAAAGAAAAAAGGTAATGCTGCGGGGCATGGTTCGGTTGTATTTGGTATTCCCAGTCCTGACACCTACCGGGTGCAAGGCGCAGTGTCAGTTCTCCCTGTCTGCTTGCCGCTGGACCTGCGAGTGTGAGCTCGGGAGGGGCGCAGGGAACTCACTGCTCTTTCCCAAGGGGGACGTCGGGGTGGACCCCACACCATTTTTGTAGCAGCTCCTGTGGGAGGAAGTGAGCTTTCGCGATAGAGATGTGTAAGGAGACCTCGCTGCGCGCTTCCTCGACTTGGCAGATGGATCCTCCTTGACCTTCCCGGGACGTTTTGAGCAGTGCTTAACTTTCAAGGGCTACCTTAATGACCTCGTACTTAAGTAGGTGTTTTTATGGGCTGTTAAGAGTATCGTTGAACACAGGCCTTTTTCCTTCTAAACGGTGGGTGGACCTTGCAACACTCTGAGGTTTCATCTTCAGCGGCTTATGCTACTCCAGCCCTTCACAGATTTTAATACTCGTTTCCCAAAACTTGACTTGTTCCCTGTTTTAGCAAACTTTCACATTCTTTTCCGATAATGGATATTGTGCGAGTGAAGACGAAGAGGTTCCTTAGTTCCACAGTTAGATGTTCACAATTGGATTCGACAGTAAGTTTACTTGGCAGTTCCAAAGCAGCAAACCTAACCCTGGTAAAAGCAGAAGCGTGCACAATCAAGACTGAAGGAAGCTCTTCTTGTAGACCTAAGGCGACCTCTCGTTTTTAATGCTCCAGTTTCTGGAAGAAAACTTGTCGGCAGAAACAAAGTTTTGCTATATATATATATATGTATTTTTTTCTCCCATATATATATATATATATATATATATATATATATATATATATATGGGAGAAAACCGTATTTCATAGCGCACAGTACCTTTCTTGGATTCTTGGGACCCAGACTTAACCCTGTTCTTTGTGTCTCACACCTGGCAGCAGGGATTCTACTTCATTTCCTCATTTCACTGATGTGTCATGTTTATCCCTTATAATGCCTAGGATTCTGTGCCTGACTTAGTGCAGAGTGCCCTGTAGACATCCCACCTCGTCGATTCCAAAACCGACTGGCAGGTCGTTTTTGTAGCCTGGGTTTTACTGGTAATTACACTTGGGAAGACTGGTCTGGGGAGGAATGTCTTCTTATCTAAGTTAGAAGAAGAATTACACTTTTCTCCTAATGATACATCCAGTTTCCTTTCTATGCTATAAACTCTGATGATACTATCTCTCCTATGCATTATCCTCCCTATTCCTGACTCAGTCGGGATAAATAATAGGTTCCCTATGGTGCGTCCCACACAGGACTTTTAAACTAAGTAAGATCTAAGAAAGTCCTCATTAGAGGAGGTCTCCAAAAACACATCTAGTTTGTTTAAGCAAGGGTGTGTATGAATTTTGTGTTAATTTTAGTTTTACATAGCGACATAAAATATTACAAAGAATTACAGTTTTTGAACGTGCCTTTTTTAAGGCTTGTCTCAAAAGAATAGAAACTGCACAACTTTTTCATTGCAGTGAATTGAGTATGGTTAATTCTGGTAAACTTTCAACAGACCATTTCTATATGGTATTTAAGACACAGAAAGGAATATGCACAATAAAATAAACCCTGAACATTTGAATTACAGCATGATTAAAAAGCCATCGTGCACCTATTTGAAACCTCTTCCTCTTTCTCCCTTTTTTCTGTAGAAAAGTGCCATCCTGAGTTTTGATGTTTTTGCTCTCTCCTTAGTTCACAGGGCACATCTCTTGACCCCAAATTAATTAATTTTGTCATTTATGGTGGTATTGGGGTTTGAAGTCAGGGCCTCAGGCTTGCTAGGCATGTGCTGTACTTGGCTTGAGCTGCACCAAGCTGTTTAGTTGTTTCTGCTTTCTCTACCACCACAGGGTCTGTGTAGGGGGGTTGCCTGGGACCAGCACGGGGCCCTGATCCTTCTACTTAGGCTTCCTGTGTAACTGGGATCCCAGGTGTGAGCACTGGCCTGAGACTCTGAATTTCATAAGAAGCAGCTTTCTAAGGTAGAAATCAATGCTGTAATTTTAAATATCACAAGCCTTGTAACATTGTCATGATAACGGCTACCCGAGTAAAGTTACATATTAGTTGGGGCTATATGTTGGATGACTTTGAGTTTGCCTCATTCTTACTCTGCTCCTCACATCAGGGAAATGGCCATCCATTGGCTCGCTTATGAATATTATGGTAAGGTGCACTTACACCTTAAGAGGGTTACTACAAAGGATTTAAAAATCGCCATCTTTTAGAAATACATGAGTGACTGATAGCGTATTTCAGAAACTACCAGACCTTGTTATATAACTTAAAATGCAGCAACCCAGCGATCCTTTTCCTAATGCAGCATATTTTGTACAGTGTGTTTTGACGTTGTAGTGTGGCTAATACTTGAAGTAGTACAGTACTTTTCTCTTTCTAGGAAATTAGTTTGGGTGTGTCTTGAGAGTGGATCAGACCTTGAATGTGAATGGGTCAAGAAATTGAGGAAGCTCCCTTATCTTTCAGACTATCAGGGAGCATATGAGACTACCACAAGGGGGAGTTTGTGCATTTGAGAAGTAGATGGTTATGTTTAGAGACCAGCTGTGCACACGCTGACTCTTCTCCTTGGTCTTTCATTACTTCACAGCCTTCCTCCCATCTTTTGAAAATGGGATCTGGCGGAGAAGTACTCCTATTATCCCTCAGTTACTTAATAGAAAAATCTCAGAAGGAAATACCATTAAGAAATAATAGCTGAATGTGTTCAATTTTAGAGAAGTGTGCATTTAAATCTTTAGTATGGTGAGGTTGTGATGAACGTTAGGGTGACAGAGGACTAAATGTTTTTCTTCTTGGCTGATGGGAGTTTAAATTAGGAGAGCTGATCCAAAGCCTGAGGAACTAAATGCATACCCATTAACTCGGAAATTCTTCCTCTGTACATTTATTCTGCGGAAGTTGTTTGTAGGCTAATGTTCAACACAGCAGAATTTAATGACAGTGAAACAATGAAAGAAATCAAAAACCGGGACAAATACACGTTAGTGGTCAAGATGTTGGACCAAGTCTGTAGTCCTTGGCATGACATGATACTCGGGACAGATGATTGAGTGTGGTTAAAACACACTACAGAAAAGAATGACACCACCCTGTTTTGCTTTGGAAAGCATGGACAACGTGTTAATATTTGTCGCTGGGTGGTAACATTTTCTCTCTCCTACACTTGTATATGAGGTGTGGTCTTATTTTAGAAATACCCAAGCACAATTGCTCGAGAAAGGTTACACATTGGTAGCTGTCCCCTGTGATCGGAACCTCAGACCAATGACAAATGTTCTGAGAAGACTGAAATTTGGTAATTTTCCTTCCTTTTTGGCAGTATGGGGATTTGAACTCTGAGCTCATGCTTGCTACATAGGCACTCTACCCCTTGAGCCACACCCTCAGCCCTGATTTTGCTTTGTGACTTTTCAGATCGGGTCTTGTGTTTTTGCTTGAGCTGACATAAAGACCTCCCTCATCTTCCTTCCTGTGCCTTTCAGGTAGCTGAGATTACGGTCCTGCATCCCCATGCCCAGCTTGTTGGCTGAGAGGGTATCTCACTAACTTTTTACCCAGCCTGGCTGGGACTGGGATTCCCTGATCTCCATCTCCAGAAGGCTGGGATTGTAGGCATGTACCACTACACCTGACCCTTAAAATTAGGTACATTTTTGAAAGTGTTGTTTCCTGTTCTGTTAATGTAGCTACTTAGTGAAATGCTTCTAATTTTCAGGTGGCTTTACAAACATGCTTTGAAAGTCATTTTAGTTTGTTTCATAATTCTGTGTGAGAAACATTAGACTAGTACAATTAATTTTGTATTTACTTTTACTAACTAGGGAAAGGAGGTAAAAACAGGCGCAGAGGTAAGAATGAAAATGAATCTGAAAAGAGAGAGCTGGTATTTAAAGAGGATGGGCAAGGTAAGACTTGCTAAGTTAGGCTCTTTTTAGAACAGTTTTTATTGTTGCTAACATAAATTCCAATATGTAACCTAGAAGAGAGCCATTTGTTTGTTTATTTATTTATTTGTTATCTTTTTATTTATTGCTGGGACTGGGGTATGAACTGGGGGTGGTGCCCTTGCTGGGCAGTGGCTCTACCACTTGAGCAGGCCCTCAGCCCTTTTGTGCACTGGCTGTTTTTGAGAAGCATCTTGAGCTTGTGCCCAGGCTGGGCTGGACCTTGATGCTCCCCATCTGCCTCTTGAGTAGCCGGGATTGTGGCCGTGAGTCACTGCACCTGGCAAGCAATGTGTTTTGAGGGTATTTTTCCATACATTTAAACAAGTGTTGAGTGAGTCTCTTTTTTACTTTCCTCAGAGTATGCACAGGTAATCAAAATGCTGGGAAATGGACGATTAGAAGCAATGTGTTTTGATGGTGTCAGGAGGTTATGCCACATCAGAGGAAAACTGAAAAAAAAGGTAGACATGTACGGTCTGTTTTACTTTGATATGCAGTGGCCTATAAAATGGTTCCTTTCACTGTAAGAGCAAGAAATAGGTTTTTGTGAGTTTCCAAAAGACTTTGATGAAAAAGGTGATTTACATGACGGTGTAAAAAGGAAGATCAGGAGACCCTTGGTCATTAGGACCTGCTCAGCCTCAGCTGTATTCCTGCCGGAAGTGTTTACTAGGATTGGAATAGTGAGGAAATAAGTAGACGAGTCCAGGCTACAAATCGAATGGTCTGGACTCAATTAAGTGTTTCTTCCACGTAAGAAAAAGAAACGCTAGAAACTGTTTAAGATTAAAAGAGACTTCACAAACTTAGTAATGCAGTACACTAGTAAAAATCATGGGAGTTTTGGAATGGGGGAAATGCAGTCCTTAACAGCACACAAGACAGGTTTATAAATCAGATTACAAGTTTCTTCAGTGTGTGTTTTAAAGTTTTTTCAAGTCTCTTCATCCTTCCTCTTCCAAAATTAATGGTACTTTTAGGGGCGGTCTTTCTCTATTTGGGCTGCTAGTACAAAATACCACTGTGTGGGTTGCTTATAAATTGTAGGGTTTATTTCTTACAGCTCAGGAGACTATTCTCATGGAGACAGTTTAACACCTGGTGAGGTTCTGCTTCTTGATTCATAGAGGCTTGAGTGTTGAGAGGGACCAGTGTGATTTCTGGGGCCCCTTTTATCAGAGCACAAATCCCATCATGAGGCTCCTCCCTCATGGCCTTATCACCTCCAAAGACCACCCCCCCCCCAGTAAGTCATGTTAAGGGTTAAGACTGCAACAAATGCATTTTCCAGGGACACAAACACTTCAGGTAACAGTAACTTACTATCTATACTTATGTTGATTGATTGCTGGATAGCTGTGTTTGCATAGAGAAGTAATTTTTACATATTTGGGTAATTAACCATCTGAAGGATGACTTGTGATTTTGGTCCCTTTCCACGATGAATGATCATTTTTCGGCATTTTCAAATGTTCAAGTAGTTGAAATAAAATTGTCCCCAGTTTACGCAGGGTCCATATATACTGTGTGTACTATACTTTTTCCTACATTTTTAATTATATTTTTTTGCTTTAATTGCAGTCCTGTTTCTAGGGAGGAGCTCTGCCATTTGAGCCACACCTGCGGCCCTCCTCCCACCTTTTTCTTTGCTTTAATGGTGCTGGGGTTTGAATCCACGTCCTTGGGCATGGCAGGCAAAAACTACCACTGAGCTGCACCGTAATTGTTTCTCAAAAACCTATTCATTGTTAATTGTTAATTTTGTGAAACGCCTGTCTCTGGGTAGCCCAAGGTGCCCTGAAGCCTGCTATTTGGCACAGGCTCGTCTTGAATTTGTGATCCTCCTGCCTTGGCCTTCTGGGATTACAGCTAGGATTACAGGCCTGCACCACCACCTTGTCCCTTTTGCAACCTAATTCTCAACAGATGCTTTTCCCAAAGTGGGGAAATTGAGGATCTAGTTTGTGGGGACACACATCTAACATTGTTCTGTACCATATATCTTTTAAATAATATGCAGGAAATTGTCTTTTACAGGTTTGGATAAACACCTCAGATGTTATATTGGTTGGTCTACGAGACTATCAGGTAAAAAAAAAAAATCTCATTTGAATTTGTACTGGGCCCTTGTTACTTAGTGGTTAATGTTTGAAATCACAGTATTGGCATCTTTGGCCAGTTCCTGCCCATAGGCTCTCTCACCATTCTGCCATTAACATTATTACGGACCCTTGAGTCAGAGAGTATGGCTTCTTTATTGTTCAGAAGAATTCTCCAAGTTAATTAATAGTATATGTATCTTGTGGGAAAATGCTTTTTTCTCTTACTATTTTAAATATAGGATGAAATAAATAATCCATAGTAGGTGTAGATAAAAAACCACAGATCCTTCTGTTCTCATTCATCTGAAGGCCATGTGTTAGATGCTCTGGGATGTTAAGAGATGGCGATTCCCCAACACTGGTCTGTGAAGTAACAATGGCTCAAGCTGATGTTTTTCACTGCTCTTATGGTAAAATGGCAACATTGTCCATTTTCTTTAGCAGTTCTAAATTACATTTCCTAAAAAGAATGACAGCCTAGGGAGGAGGTGTTCATTTTACAAAGGAGTCTTCCTTTCTAGTTTTCCCCCACTTTCTTGTTAGGGCATGTCAGTTGTATTATGTGTGTGAGGGTCGTTCATCGTGATATTTCCATATATGCATGCAGTGCACTCTGATCACTTCACCCCATTACTCTTTGGGTCCCCCACAGTCCCCTTAGAAACATCTGTCTCACAGTTTGTTTGTTTATTGTTTGTTTCAGTGGATTTCATTATGACTTTTCCATACATGCACACAATGTACTTTGATCCTATTCTCCCTTGGTAAAACAAAAATTTAGTAATCCTATGGAGTTCCAGTCACTTACCACCTTAATGTATTTTTACTGGGGAAAAGGAGTTTTGCTGCATTGCCCAGGGTATCAACCTGGGCTCCGGGACTCAAGTGATCCTCCTGCCTCAACCTCCCGGGTAGCTGGCACTGTAGGTGAGCCCCACCACCCCCAGTTCATTACTTACGTCTTCATTTTTTAAATTTAATGGTCTGGGAAACTGTTATTCTAGGAATGCAGCTGAATAAGTCAACTCTTCCATTCTCTTGGGCCTTATGGTCTTTAGGTAGTCTGCTGGTGGAGCATGGTGATGTGCATGCAAATGGTTAAAATACAAAGTGTTCTTTAAGCATATGCTGTCAATTTAGGATGAGCACAAAAGCTGTGGTCATACATAGCCCTCTATAAGCTCAAGCTGGAAACTGCATATGCTTTGTGAGTTTGTGAAATCCATTTGATTTTCATGTAGAAGAAACTCATCCCTTTTAAGTTATGATACTGTGAAGTTTCCAGTGAGTAGTCTATTGCTGTGCTTTGCAGGTTTCTGTAGGTATCTGTTAGGTCTCGCTGCCCTACACTTCAGGTCCTCTTATTTCCTTGTTGATCATTTGTCCAGTTGTTTCTTCTCATTATACAGTGGCCCCGTCAAGTCAGCTATTCAGTTTTTTACCTTTTATTATTATCCTAATTGTTGTTGGCTTAGCTGGAGGTTGAACTTGGTAGGCAGGCCAGCACTACTACTTGAGCCACCCGCCAGCTCTTTTTTTTCTGCATCGGCCAATTTTGAGATAGGGTCCCACTTTATGCCGTGGGACCACCTTGGGCCGTGGTTCTCCTACTGGGCCTCCCTGTGCAGCCAGAACCACAGCCCCGTGCTACCGTGCCTAGCCATTGGTTGAGAGGGGGTCATGTGAACTTTTTGCCTACCCTGGCCTGGAACCACTATCCTCCCGGATCTCCACCTCCCATGCAGCCAGGAACACAGACTTGAACAGCCATGCCTGGTTTGGAATTTGTTTCTTTGGAGAAGTTCTGTGTTTTCATTTTCATTTTCCATTTAGTGAGACTGTTGCGGGAATCTCCAGCTGAGATACAGGACACTGAGGCAATTCAGCAGGAAGCAATGGTTTAATTGTGCCGGCACAGACCCAGTGGACTCGTGTCGTCCAAGGGCTGAGCCCCTGAGAGCAAAGGGGTCTCACGTTATATACCCTTGCAAGCAGGTTACAGAAGCAAGAATCAAAGCTCAGCCCACGTTTGTCTGCAGGTGACTTTACTGGCTATTCCATTCCCCCAGGGCTTTGTGACCTTCTTCATGTTTCAGTGTTTTATCTCTGTGCTTTGCCATCCCTTCCCCCTGCCTCATTACCAAACACAGCCTGTCTGTTTCTCTTCTGGTCTCCTCCCTGCTATAAGACATCAGTCTCATCATCCCATCAGTATTTGTACATATGTTTTCCTTTAATTCTTTAAATGTATTTATAGTAGTTGATGTAAAGTCCAACTTCTGGCCTCTGTAAGATATTTTTTGCAGTGACTCTTTTTTGTCTTGTTGGAGGCCATACTTTGTGTTCTCAAGGTCTCCTACTTTTTGGTGGTGTTAGTGTTGAAAACTGAACATGTCAAATATAATGTAGCAAGTCTTAAATTGGTTGCTGTAGCTTTTTTGCTAGTGACTTTTCTGTGGAAATTCTGTGTCCTTTAGTGGACAGCTCATGTTTTTGACTCAGATTTTGTTAGAAGCAGGAAGCCTGCCAGGTGTCCTGATACCACCAATAATCCTGGTACCTGGGAGGTGGAATGCGTAGGAGCCTGAGTTCACAGGTTAGTTACATGGCAAGACAGTCTCAAAACCCAACAACAGCAACTACGCACAATGGTAAGCCTCCCAGTCTATGAGGGTGACTTTGTACAAGTTGGGATACACTGAGCCAGTCAACAGACCACTCATCCCTAGTTTTCATCTCGTGCTTTGCAGTCTCAAGATCAGTCAGAGCTGAGATTAGGGCCTTCCAGAGATAAGAGATTAGTGTCTTCTCTTTTGTGAGCATCTGCTCGGGCTTTCTAGGTTCACAGAAGTGTGCTGGGGTGTTCCAATCTCCTGTGGACATCAACTTCTAACACTTTTACGTTTCTTTGGTTGGGTTTTTTTTCCCCAGTCATTATGTCTGCTTCAAGGCATTGCAGAGATTATTTTTCTCCGATTCCCCTGGGCATAGGGTGGTGAGATATTGCTAGCGAATAAGCTTTGAATTATTTCAAATAAAGGAAAGCTTTACTGCAAGGGGGAGCTTCTGGGTACTATGGAATAGCTCTGTAGAGCTATTGGTGTTTTGACAGAGGTCAGAACTTGTTCTACATCTTCCAGTGGCTGCTGTGTTGCTGATTTTCATGGCTACATGGAACAGGTATGAGAGGCATAGGAATAGAGTCTTAGGACGGGGCAAGTTAAAATACTACAGAGCTTGGTCTGTAGTATTTTTCTCCAACAAGCACTCTTCAGATTATCATGTGCATTTGATTATTTTCAGACTTCTGACAGAATCGATAGTGACAGACTTTGGCAGTATTCTCAACTCATTAGAGAATTTCAGTGAGTCTTTGTGTCTGTCACAAGCCCCTCTCTTGGAGCAACAGCCCCTCTCTGTGGGGCCCAGCTAATTGGTGGCTAAAGAATAACAGATTGGAGAAGTTGATGGTATAATGGGGAAGCTTCAGTGTGCTTGTTCTGGGAAGACAGGTCTAAGGGGAGTTAGGAACAGCCTTGAGGTCATATAGCAGGGAAAGAACAAAGGCAAGACTTGGGTGTTTGCACAGCTAGTGCTCCTGGTGGGAGCATAATCTGAATAATCATCATCCCTGATTCATGACACGAAGTGCTGCTGCTCAGGTGCAACCTCCCTTTGCTTCACAGGATGGACTTTGGTCAGATCCACAATGCCAGAATTAAAATAATCTGAGGGGGAAAGAGCAACTCAGAAAAGGACACTGTGTGAGAGACAAAGTGGAGTCTGGTTAACCATTGGATTCTCTTCCACTATGACTGTTCTGTGCCTCTGATTTAATAGACTCAATCATATAGTAGTTTTCTTTTATAAAAACTTCCAAAGTAGAAAGTTACAGGTTTTCTTTGAAACTACATATTTTCATTCAAATTTGAATCCCATGTGCATTTTAATAAAATCTTTTTGTATTTGTCTGCACATACTGGTTCACTTCATATGGTCAGTGAATCACCATGATTATTTTAGTTGCCTCTCTTTGAATTTCTTTGCAATTAATTGTAAGGCATCAACAGGAACCTCTGCCCACTCACCAGTCTAGCTGAGTCAGGTTCTTTAAAAGTTGAGCATTTTAGGTCTGTACTTCTCAGGGATGTTTGCACCAAAACCACCCATTGGAAAGAACTTTTCAAAATTCAGTTTCTGAGGGTACGTCCCAAATCTACTCTCAGTCTTAGAAAGGAGTTAAGTATTTTGAAACTGCACAGCTCATTCTGATTGGCAATAAATCCTAAGAACCAGTTGCAACCATGAAAAGTCTGGCTGTGTGGCTGCTAACATGGAAGCATTAGCACTTTGTATTATCTTGTCACTCTGTCTCTTGGTTCTCTGGTGACAGCAGAATTACCCATGGTAGGCCATCTTATGTGATGCTGCCAAGAGAAGATGTGTATAACATCGTTTCTGGGAATGTTCTCTTAGTCTCAGTCACCTGGTGCCAGAGCAGCACTTTAATCTTTAGTAATGAGAGGTTTTATGATGTGGGCGAGAGCATTTTAGCTTAGTCTGCAGGTTGCAGAGCATCCCAGACCTGTGAAGGTAAGAAAGCAGCAATTGTACAGAAAGCTTGTTGTTTAGAGGTCCAGGTGTCTGGGTTTTCTCACAAGAAGTCTCTGCTTTACATTTTCCTGAGAGCTCTTCTGATTGTGACCTTTCCTACAATTTGGGAATGGCCAGTATCCAGGGAAAGGGCTGAAACATTTTAACTAATTCTATAAAGTCATTAAGATAGGAAACACGGTACAGGGAGAAAATAGTTACACAAGCATCAACTGAACAGAATAATGAGGAAAGGAAAAGCCACTCAGCTCAGGCCCAACTTCACACTGACATGTTTTTCTAGGACCCATTGTACTCTTTTTCAGTTTTGAATTGTGTTTCACCTACAAAGTTTACATTGCAGTTTTTCTGCTTCAAAAGACATCTAATCAAAAGTATTACTAAGTAAGATGAAGGGGAAAGTTGTCTGTTCTGCTTTTATGAAGATTAAATCTGTAAAGGGTCCTTTTATGAATTACTATTAGTTATATGCACCCTACCCTTCTTTTTGTTAATTTACACCCAAAGGTTGTTTGTATTTGTTTGTTGTGGTACTGGGGTGTGAACTCTTGGCCTACACTTTGAACCACTCCGCCAGCCCTTTTTTGTGATGAGATTTTTTAAGGTAGGGTCTCTTGAACTATTTTGCTGGCACTGGCTTCAAACTGGGATCCTTTTGATCTCTGCCTCCCCAGTAGGTAGGCTTGTGCCTGGCATATGTTTGTTTGTTTGTTTGTGAAAGACGCACGGAGTGAGTTTTTCCTTAGTGTGTGTAACTTGAAAATAATTAGGAAACAAATGATACTTTGTTCTCACCAGTTTAAAACATTAATTGTTTATTTTTAAGGATAAAAAAGCTGATGTAATTTTGAAGTATAATGCAAATGAAGCTAGAAGCCTGAAGGCATACGGAGAGCTTCCAGAACATGGTAATGTCTATAGTGTTACCAAATGCTGTCATGTGCTGTTATGGTTCCTTAGGGATAACATGAGGGATTTTGGTAGAATTTGGGTCTGTTGTGTATTACAGAATTTTAAGTATGGTAGCATTTTAGAAAGTTAAGTAGGAATCACTACTTAACCTCCTCCTCATCCTCCTCCTCCTCTTCCTCATCCCTTCTCCTCCTCCTCATCCTCCTACTCCTCTTCCTCATCCCTTCTCCTCCTCCTCATCCTCCTCCTCCTCTTCCTCATCCCTTCTCCTCCTCCTCATCCTCCTTCTCCTCTTCCTCATCCCCACCTTCTCCTCCTCCTCCTTCACTTCTCCTCCTTATCCCCGCCTTCTCCTCCTCCTCCTCCCAGCCTTCTCCTCCTCCTCATCCCCACCTTCTCCTCCTCCTCCTCCTACTTCTCCTCCTCCTTCTAATTCTCTTCCTCCTCATCCCCGCCTTCTCCTTCTCCTCCTCCTTCTACTTCTCCTCCACATCTCTGCCTTCTCCTAGTCCTCATCCATGCCATCTCCTCCTCCTCCATCTACTTCTCCTCCTCCTCCTCCTCTCCACCTTCTCCTTCTCCTCCTCCTTCTACTTCTCCTCCTCTATCTTGTTTTCCTTCTTTCTCCTCCTCCCTGTTCTCCCCCTCTTCCTCTCTTCTTCTCCTCCCTTGTTCTTTTTTCCTCCTTCTTTGCTTCTCTTCTTTCTTTTTTTCTTCTTTCTCCTCCTCTGGCTTCTTTTCTCTTCCTTCTTCTTTTCTTCCCATTTTCCTTCCCTCCTTTTCTTTCCCTTCCCCTTCTCCCTCGCCTTTGTTCTCCTTTCTTCATGCCTTCCCTCTTGCCCCTGCCTTCTTAAAATACTGAGTTTTGAACCCAAGACTTCTGTGATGCTAGGCAGGCACTTGATCCATGCCTCCAGAACTGAAGGTATTTTTTAAAAATACAGTCTCATATCTTAGTCCAAGATGAGCCCAGACTGTGATCTCCTACCTATGGGTTTCCGCACAGTGAGGGCCACAGACCTTGCTCATTTGCAGAGGTGTGATCCGAACAATTTTCTTTTTGCCTGGGCTGGCATTGAACCATAATCCTCCCAGTCTCCATCCTCCCAGTAGCTGGGATTATAGCTGTGAGCCACTGTGCCTGACCCCTGATAGTAGATTTGAACTCAGGGTCTTGGGGTCAGTAGTCAAGTGTACTACCTCTTAAGTCACACCTCCAGGTTGTTTGCTTTCACTTGTTTTTCAAATAGGGTCTGTGGTTTCCTCAGGCTGGCTTCTGACTACCGTCCTAATTTCACAGTTAGGATTATAGGCATGATCTACCATACCCAGTTTACTGTTTTGAAATAGGGTCTTGCTAACTTTTTTGATCAGGCTGGTCTCAAAATAGGATCCTCCTTACTCCACTTTCTTAAGTAGCTGGCAACTTTATTTTGTTAATTCTTTTGATAGGGGGTTTCACTATGTACCCAGATGAAATCCCCCTGCCTCAGTCTCCTGAGTAGCTCGGGTTGCTGGTGTGCTGCACCATTCTCAAGAGACTGGCAGTTTTCATATCAGCATCACCAATTATGATACTTGTTTTGATTTTTATAGAGAACAATGTTCTCTTATGTGTTGACATGGTTAGGAGTTGTGTGGTTTTGTATTGCAGTGCTGGGATTAGAACCCGGGCCTTCACATAATGTAGTACTCAACCACTGAGCTACATCTTATCAGTCAGAAAGATTTACTCAATTCATGCTTACGCGTAAGAAATAAAACCAAAACAGAGCTGCTACACTTAAACTGCCAATAATTTCATCAGGATCCTCATGTTACATTCCCAAGCCCTTCATGATTCATGATTGTATCTACAGGGTATGTAAAACAAAAATACTTATTTTCTTTCTGAAAGGCCAACATAAAGCATTGTCACTTGAAAACTTGGAAAGACTAAACTAAGACCATGCATGAATTTGTAAGCCTCAATGTTTTCTTTGCAGGGCAGCTAGTTTATTTTTAATTCCAGTGCATTTTATCATAAAAATAGTAAGATTCTTCCTAACAATGATGATCCTCATGAAATTATTGGCCTTTTTAAAACTAGCAGCTCTTTTTGCTTTTATGTCTTATAGGTATTTGATTAAGTCTCTCTGACTGGTGAGAACTCCCATACTATGAGGATATTTCTAGGCCTTTCTCAAATCCTTTCTGAAGGATATTTTGAAGGTTTTCAGTGAGTCTAATCAGAGCCTGTCGGCTTTACTAAAATACTCTTTTGAATAAAAGAACACATGGCTCTTGTTTTTGTAACAGTTTTTAAATGAATGATCTTCTGGGGGACTTTTATTAAGTTGATCTCTGGGATTTTTGGTAAAGAAACATGCATGAATTGAAATAAAAGAATGTGTATTGTTTTATGTCAGACCCATTTCTTTTCTTAATAGTACTTAATAATATTTTGATTATTCAGTGGGCATTTTTGTTATTGTATGTTTAGCTAAAATCAATGAAACGGACACATTTGGTCCCAGAGAGGATGATGAAATCCAGTTTGATGATGTCGGGGATGATGATGAAGACATTGATGATGTAAGTATTATGACCCTTACAGATGTTTTGTGTATGTTCTTTATGGATTATGTGTCTTATCTGGGAGAAAGTCCCCTTCTTACCCTGATATTTTCCTTTGGCTTCATTATGCTGAATACGTAAATTTAGGGTATGTTTCTGAGCTTGAATATTCAGTACTTGAATATTTGGAACTAGCCAGAAACAAGCTGTTTATTCTCTGATTTATAATCCCTTGGGATATTTCTTTCTCTCAAAATCAGGATTCGTTTTGGCAGAAGCCGTGCCATAATCCTAGCTGTTTTAAGGAAGAGTACGTAAAGAGGTAGTCGTTGACAATTTCTTTTGTGTGTGTGCGTTGCTGGTAGAGGGGTCAGCATAGTGTCTTCCAAGAATTTTAGCAGTTTTGAGCTCATGCCTTTTCTGAAACAAAATATTTGTGTTAAAAAGACTTATTTGATACAGCGTTGAAATTGCAGCATCCTTTGACAACCTTCTTTCAACGGAGGCATGTTGTCAGGGTCCTGTTATTTTATCAGGTATCACTGTTGCCCTAAACCTCACTTGGAGTTGCTGTGTGATTAATTTGTGAAAAACGGCTGTTCTTCCTAGCATAAAGTAGTGAGCTCACAAGAGTACTATGTTTTTTAGTGTTCTTTTGCTGTTCTACATTTAAATGAAATTCCTTGATACACATTTATTATGACAATTGCTTATGTGTTTATATTCATGTTTATGTTTGTAAACATAAACATGTATAAGTAATGCTTAGCAAGCCCTCTGCCACTCACCTTTATCCTTAGCCCTTCATTGTTGTATCTGCAGTATATTTAAGTCAAAAATATTTATTTTCTTAAGCGTATGTATACCTATCCATTCACACACACACACACACACACACACTCACACACTCACACTATCCCATTCCAAACCATTTACATTACTTATACTGTGAATGTGTGTGTGTAACTGGGATGGCAGTATAGCTTACAGTTCAGTGAGGTTCTTCTTTTAATTCCCCAGTAATGAAAATGTATAAAGCCAAAAATAATGAGTGTTTGATTAGACACTAAGTTGAAAGTTTAGAATACGTAGAGTAACTTTTCAAAAAAGATTGCATGTGGCATAATTACCAGAGCTTGTAAAAAATGCACAGGGCCAATCTTGGGGAAGTCATTTGGGTCTCAGGTGACCCTAATGTTCACACCTCATGGAGAATCCTTGATCAAAAACAGTGATCTCTAAAATTTTATTCCCTAATATCTTTGTAAGAGCATCTTCAAGCTATTCAAAGAAGTTGAAAATTTTCAATTCAAGTAAACATCAGCTAATTTTACAACTTGCATTTGTTTATACGTGGTTTGTCATACCATCCTATTTTCTATTTTTACATCATTCCAAACCATTTACATTACTTATACTGTAAAATAACATAGCCTCTACCCCTATTCTGTACCACTATTGTGTGTGTGTGTGTGTGTGTGTGTGTGTTTATAAATTGTATATACAAGTTTTAAAACATACATCACTCCAATGTTACATAAGTCTTAAAGCTATCTAAGTGTAAAAAGGAAGAATGGTGAGTAGTGAACATGTTCTTCTAATTTCTTTGTACAATTCTCTTTCGGGACCCTAAGCCAAAGGAGTCTTACGACAAAACAATATTAATGATACTTTCCTGAGACAAGAGACTGACATATCATGTCACTATTGGTTGTGGCTTAAGGGCAGATCTGAACATTTTGTCAGCTGACCTTAGTTTTAGATAATTAAAGATCCTGTCCAGACTGTATGTATTAATACAAAGCTGTGTGCACAGATGATAGACTAGATGAGAGTGTAGGCACAGTAACCATGTTTTCCAGAAAATATAATCTATGCCACTATTTCTTCTGGAACACTTTGAGTGGGCTGAGAGGGGAAGGGATTGGAAAGAAGTGGGACTATTAAGGAAATTTGGTATTTTGACTATTTCATAAAGGCTGCTTTTGTTTAAGACCTGAGGACTCTACTACTTCTAGAGCAGCTCTCTTTTTACAGGTTTGAACATCTGCAAAAATTTAAATTACACTAAATTAAAATTAAGTTAGGGTAGATTTAGTGTTGCTCCTGTGACCAGATGACTCAAATTAGAGAATTTGGTTTAGTGATACTTCTATTCGGAAAGAATTATATTATTCCTTAGTGTGTATGATCAGCCTCAACACAGCAGATCTCTAGAAACAGAGAAGGAAGGAGATGCTGAGTTGTATTGTGGATATTATGGATAGTGTGTAACACGTATAAGGATTTATGCATAACATATAACATTCTGAAAGCGAGAAAGATATTCTGGCAACAGAGAGGAATAGAGGAAAATTTGATATACAGAATGTTCATAGAACTTTAAGGGCGTCTTACATTGCGTAGAATGTTGTAATGATTATTTTCATCCATCTCCTGTTCTTCTTGCTTCCAGATCTAAGCTGAACCCAATGTGTTATATCCCGAGTATTCTCAGGGTCGTTCTACATTCGGGATCTTGGTCGTCAGCTGTTAAGAGTAAGACTTCATTTAGCTTGCCAAGGAAAGCAGATTGGTTTGTTTGCATTTTAAAAAGTATTTGTTATATTTCTTTGAAGACTGAAGATGTTGTGTTAACTGACATGTGAAAACATAGATGTAATGCTACCATGTGCACTGATAAACCAATACTTCATTTCTAGTAAACGAATGCCATCACTCAGTTGTTTCCCTTGTGACCAGAATGGATTTTAGCCGCTTTCAGAACCGTTATGTTCTAATTATCTGGACGTTCCTGGAGACTTTTTAAATCTAATTTATAAATTTTTAGAATTCATCAACATAAATCTGCATTTGGAGTTGAAGAATATCGATCTGTTTTTTGAAATGCATGTACCCATGTGTATTCTTAAAACTTCGATATTTTATACATTCTTGTTTGTCATTTACATTGCCACTGTACCAAAAAAAGCATTTTCAAAATGTAAATTTAAAAGCATGGGTAGCAATTTGGGGTTTGTAACATTAGCAGCTGGAGAAATTGAATACTAAGTGATAACCAGTTATCTTGAGGTTTTAAGGGAAAAAGAAAGTGAAAATAACTATGCTGTTGTATTTACATAGAAAAGTTTTGAAACAAGACAGGTTGTAGTGGTACATAAAACATTTACTTTTACTTTTACAAAATAGGTTAGGTAAAAATGTCATTTTACTCTAATTAAATTGCATTGTACAAGTGAAGAGCCAGTCTCATAATAAAAAGAGGTCTCTATTTTCCTGATGCAAGACTCACAGAAATAAAACCATAATAAAGTGTCACGTTGAGCATCTGGTCTTCTTACTTTGTGTTACTGGCATGTTGTTACACATACTGATATGATACACATACTGGCACATCTGACTAGCAATTTGTATCATAGTCTCTCTTTTTAAGATTTGCTTATTTATAAATTTGTTAACTCTAATAAAGTAAGATCTGGCACACAGTTCAATCGTCTACGTCTTTAAGGAAACAGAGTCATTGATGAGTTTGTAAAACATTCTCCCAATTATTTTTCACAACTGAAAATAAGGGAATACAACTTCACATGGCTTTGTAACAAAAAGGTAACAACTATGAAGATGAATAAACCTGCATTTGACTGTGTCCCATTTTGCCATAATCATCACAAACACCCAACACCATAGATTGAAGATACGAGGCCGGGTTATTTATTTCCTGAAATAAGTAAAATAAGAAATATAAGTACACGGTGTAGTTTGAAGTTCTTACTCTGTGGAGTTCTGAACACTGACATAAGTGGGATGTGTCTTGAGAGTAAGTACTGCTTTTAACACTTAAGTAAGCAGATTTAACGAGCTGACTTACCGTCAGTGTTGAATGAGTAATCAAAACTCACATTTCAGAGTAATACATTAAGGAAATTGCTGAATTTACAGGGTATATCCTCTTGCCGTACTTTGCCTAAAGCTTAGAATTGTGCTTCATGAGTGTAAAACTCCTCTTACACTTTCTTCTAGCGATACGGTTTGTCTAAAGATTCTTTGAAAAGACAACTGTGGTTGCAATTTGTGGATCTTTGTTGTGAAACACTTTTGCTTTTGATTGATAGTCCATTTTACCATTCATCCTGGAAAGTCTAAAATTGCAATTAAACATTAAAGCAGGAATAAGACACAGCTCTATGTACTCTACTTGAAGGAGTTGTTTTTGAAAACAATTGTGTGGAGATTTCTGGTTTCATGGTTTTGATTATGTCTAAATGGTTTTAGGCAATTGTTAGCATAAGCTGGGTTATTTGTCAGAGTCTCTGGCTCTGTCTGTAACAGTAGCCAGACCTGATACAACTGTCTTCCAGACAGTGGTAATGGGCCTAGGTACTTCATCACCACCTATCTGACACTCAGACCAGTCAGGGCAGCAGTGCATGTTCAGATAACATAGTGCGTCACCTGGCAGTAAAGAGTCACATGGATGTGGGACAGCAAATGCTGTTAGTACTTAGGGTTTTTGTTTTGTT